AAAATCTATTTATTTTATCCAAATTCAAATATATCAAAATTTTAAATTGAATATTATACAACAAAAATCAAAATTTTATAAAAATATTTAAATTTAAGCTAAATGGTAGAGAGTTAATTACTAACTTTTTTTCTTTTATTTTTTTAGTTTCTCCATCCCTTAACACCAAGAAATAGTTAACCACAAATTACAAATTAAATGGGAAACTTAATGAAAAAGAAAAAATTGTAAAATTTTAATGAAATATAAACAATAAAAAAAATAAAAGTACCAAATGAGATGCTTCCTTAAAATGCCTTTAATTTCTATTATAAAATCCTGCAAAAAAATAAAATTGATGTCAATATTAATTGAAATAAACTTGTAAATTGCAAAAGAAATAAACTAATAAAATTAAAATTAAAGGAAGAAAGAAAATGAGAGAAATTAATGGAGATGAAATTAAAGGAAGGAATGTATGAGCCAAAAAGAATGTGCGAAAATGGAAGAGAGGATGAGGAGAATGAATGAAAGAAAAGGGAAAGTGAAGAAAAGAGAAGATGAGAAAGAGGAAGAAATGAAAGAAAATGATGGAAGTAAAGAGAAATGAGGAGGGGAAGTAATTAAAAGGAAGAGAAAGATGAGGAAGGTGAGTGGAAGGTGGAATGAAGGGAAAAGTAGGAAGAAGGAAGAAGGAAGATGGAAATGGGTAAAATACAATTTAAAGAGCTTGAATTGCTCTTATAGAGTTTATGCTACTTCAGTTAAGAATTTTGACTTAAATGGTTTTGCTAGAAAATTCAAGACATTTCACATGATTTTAGAGCCAAAAAAAAAAAGAAAAGAAAAGAAAAGAAAAGCAATTTCGAATTGTTGACGACAACTTAAGATTTTTCAAAACAATGAAAAATTAAGTGTAAAAATATAAGAAAAGAAAAGGGAGTCGCCACTCATCTAAATTATAAGATGGGACAAGTCACTTAAAACGGGTCTGCATAGAGATCGGAGTTCAGGAGTTCAATTAAGAGTGAGGAATGGCATATTCGCATCTCATAATCTTCCGTTTAAATACAGTTGCATACTTTAAAATTGAGGTTTTAATTCAACTTATTTATTATCTATGTTTATGTCTTAACATTTTTTATTTTTTATTTTTAAAAAAGGATAAACCAAATTGAAACTTTTTTTTAATTTTTGGATTAAAATGGACCAAATCAAAGACATACATGCACAATAACATGAACAAGAAGTTAAGGGACTAACTTGATTAAATTCGAAAGATGAAGGACTGATTTGATTAAATTCAAAACATGAAAGATTGATTTGAAAAGAGTTGAAACCCACGCACTAAATTGCTTAATCATGAAAGTTTTGGGTGAAATTTGAAATAAACAAAGGTACTTTTGACTTTGACCAACTTTAAAAGAAATTAAGGATTTAAATTAATTAATTATGATGATTAACATTAATTAAAATTAATTAATCATATTTATAAATCTTTAAGCAAGATAATTAAATAATATAATCATCTTAAACTAAGATCAACAAAAATGATTAATTTATTTTAATTAAAGTTAATTAATATTATTAATCATAAATTGAATTAATTATCCTAATTAATTAATCCTTTTTATTTATATTATATAATTTTTTTTCGTTTTAGTCTTTTTTTTTACTGGACTGGGTCGGATTGACCCAATCCAAAAACACAAACCCACTAACCCAAATGGGCAAAAACAGATCAAACAAACTCACTGACCCAAATGGGCAAAAACAGATCAAACGCAAAACAAAAAAAAAAAAAAAAACTTACAATTAAGGTCCAGGATCGTTCTAAAAAAAAATTTCATCACAAAAATAAACACATTTCGCAGAACAGAGGAAAAGAAAAGAAAAACATTTTCATCAAACAGAAAAATCTATAAAGATTTCCATTCATTCTCTAGTAAACACATACAACTTAAAAAATGCAGAAAAACATCAACCCAAAAATAAGAAAAACACCCACGGCAGAGTTCTTTTTTAGCTGAATCATTCCTTGATTTTTCATTCATTTCCAACAAACATAAACAAATCTAACATTAAACCCAAGAAAGAGACTTCAACAACAAATCACAAAGAAATAAAATGGCAGATTCTTAAAGGGAATTTTTTTTTACCTAAGACGGAAAGAAAACAAACCCGAGAATGCACAATCTCCTTCGATGAGCTTTGGAAATTCGAGATCCTCTTCCTCTTATCGCCACCTCCAGCCACCCAGATTCAGACCAAACCAAAACCCCCCCTATTCCAAATCTAAAGACCTCTATTTATACCCACACAAGCAAAAGCCAAAAAAACAAAAAAAAGAACCCCTCTTCCTAACCTTTCGATCTGTCCTCTTTCTTCCTACTGTGGATCGAATGGGGCCAAAATTGACCTCGCAGAACACTGTCATTTTGCAGGAGTTTGTCCCATGCTCTGTTGACTGTAGCGTGAGGCGTAGGATTGGAGGCGGGGTGCGGTGTGCAGGGGGTGTGATTGCCGGCATTGGGCGCAGAGGAGGGAGGGTGTAGGCTCGATGCAGAGGGTGGATACGATTGCCAAAGGTGGGGCGCAGAGGAGAGGCATGGGTTCGGTGCAGAGAGAGGTATGATTGCCGGTGATGGGGAGGGGAAGCTGATTCGGTGCAGAGGGGAGAAAGAGCTGATTCGGTGCAGAAGGGGTGGAAGCTGATTTGGTGCAAAGGGAGGTGGAGCGGGTTTGGTGCACAGGGAGGGGTAGAGGCTGGTTCGGTGTAGAGGAGGGGTAGAGTGCATGATTTGGTGCAGAGGAGGGGTAGAGTGCAGATTCGGTGCAGAGGGAGGTGGAGCAGGTTTGGTGCACAGGGAGGTGGAGCGGGTTTGGTGCACAGGGAGGGGTAGAGTGCATGATTTGGTGCAGGCGGTAAGGGCAGGGGCGCAGAGGAGGAGTGCAGGACCGACTCTAGACGGGGAGGGGTTGCTGCATTTTTGGCTGCTCTGCCTTGTCCGATCGTTTCCTTCTCTATGAAAGAGACAAGATGCTAGGGTTTTGATGTTGGGTTTGGGCCGAACCTTTCTCCTCCTTTTTTTTTTTTTGGATTGGATTGGGTCAAGATGGTTAGTGGGCTACTGCAGGCTTAAAATTTGAAGTGGGTCAAATTTGGGTTGGGTTTGGGGCTTTAAATTGAAATGGGTTGGTGTTGGGTTGGGTTTTTGGCATTGTTTTAAAACCCGGCCCGGCCCGGTCGGTTGAACCGGACCCGGGCTTAAAAATGGGCCGGTTTCATGCATTGGCCCGTTTTGCAAGTTGGCCCGCGTTAGCCCGCCAGACTCGCCAGACCCGCTCCAAACTCCCAACCCGTCCCACCCGCCGGGCCATCCCTCTGCCTCATCCCTGCTCCATCTCCCGTGAGTTCATCGGCATCTCACCACAGCAGTCACCACCTCATCACCTCCGACAGAGCGGCCTGATCTCCCTGCTCCACTTCCGTCAAGATCTCACCAGCAGTCACAGCCTCATCTAGACATGGAGAAATAAAGAAAACTCTCTGCAAATTGTAAAACCCAGAACAAAAGAAAGGAGTGAGAAAAAGAAGGAACCATCGACGAGCTCCAGATCTCAGCCACCTCCGTCGGCGGCAACACAACTCAGCGTCCAGCCGATCGTCCTCATCACTCATCTCCTCTACTGAGCAACACAGAAAAACAAAACAAAATCAACAGATCATCCTCATCTACCTCATCTCCTCCGTCGAGCACCTCCTCCTCCTCATCTCCTCCGTCAATCACGGCATCTTCATTTGCCTCATCTCCTCCGCCGAGCACCTCCTCCTCATCTCCTCCGTCGATCATGGCGTCCTCATCTGCCTCATCTCCTCCACCGCTCCTCTTCTTTTCCTGCCTCCACTGAGCAGAAGCAGCAGCAGAAGTCAGAATCTGCAACAGCTCATCGAACATATCGTCAAAAATTGAAAAAAGTGTGTTTTTAGGTTGACCGGTTGGACCGGTCGAGTGAACCGATTCAACCGGTTAAACCAGACCCGGTGGTCAAAACGGGTCAACCACCGGGCCGGGTGCAAAAACATTGGTTTTTGGTTTTAATGGGCTAGATTTATAGTTTCAAGGGTTTCACCCCAAACTTTTGATCTTTTCAATTGAGTCCCTTGTTTTAATTTCTTTCACCCCCTTCTTCCAATCCTCTTCGCAAAATTTCCTTTTTTGATTATGAACCTGACCAGAAAAAACAAAGGCAAACATAGTAGTTAAACGTAAAAAAAAAAAACTAAAATAAAATAAAATTCTATTAAAATTCTATTAAAATTTGAGTTATGACACGGACAATAATTTTGATTGAAATAGTTTTGACGAATAATTCAAAATGTTTCACTTGATTTGTGTAGTCAAAACATCTAATTTCAAATAAGAATTTTGACCGAAATAATTTTGGCAAAAAATTCAAGAAATTTCACTTAATTCTGGGAGTGAAACAATATAATTTCGATGAAGCATGTTGTCCGAAATAGTTTTATAGAAAATTAAAAAAATTTAGAAAAGAAAGTGTCATGCTAATATAATTAGAAAAAAAGGAGATAGCTATTTTGGTCAAGATGCTTGACCAAAATAGTTTCATAGAAAATTAAAAAAAGAAATTTTGGAAAGAAAGTGTCATACTAATACAAATAAAAAAATGAGACAGTTATTTTGGTAAAATGCTTGACTGAAATAATTTAATAAAAAATAAAAAAAAGGGAAAGAAAGCACTATACTAATACAGTTAAAGAAAAAGAGACAATTATTTTGATCAAAAATTTTGACCGAAAAACATAATAAAATAAAAATAAAAATTACTTAATTAATTTGGTCAAAATTTATGACTGAAAGCTTATTATTTTATTATTAATATAATTTGAATAAAATATTTGACCAAATTAATAATGACACCAATTAACACAATTTTATTTCGATCAATATGTTTGATCAAAATAATTTTAGATTGAATTATTATGTTAAATACCTTTTAATTGGACTAAAGCATAATTCAGTCAAAATACTTGACCGAATTAAGTTTCTTTTTTTTTTTTTTGTCAAAATATTTTTTTGTCTGAAATATTTTTTTTCGAAAGAAAGCTTTTTCTAGTATTGTCTTCT